CGGGGGAGGGGCGGGGGGAGGGGGCCAGCCCCCCCGCCCCTGGCCTGGAGCGGCTGCTGGACATCCAGAGCTTGCCCAAACGGACCTCGGCCGCTGAGCCCAGCGCCCCGGGCAGCCCTGGGGAGCCCCCCGCCCCGGGGGGCAGCGACCTCTGCTCTGGCCTCATCAAGATCCGCCTCAAATTCCTCAACGAGACGGAGGAGGTGGCCGTGGTCCGGCCCGAGGACACCGTGGGGGGCCTGAAGAGGTGAGTCCCGAGGGAGAGGGGGACGTGAGGGAGTGCTGCCTGCTTGCAAACCCAGTGCCCTTTGGACAAAGAGCCCCCTCCCCAGCCTCCTGCCTGAGAGCGGAGGAGGGTTTTCATCCGTTCTCGCTGCGCCGCTCCCCCCCGTGCTTTGCCGAGGGGTCCCTCCAAAAAATAACGAGGAGGCGCCGCTTTTAAAATAACGAGTTTAAAAGACGACAGTGCCTTTGCTGTCCCCCCGAGTCGGGACCCTCATCGATTTTACGATGGGGGGTTTCCCCCAGCCCTCCGTTACTTTGGGTGCATCTGTGAGCCCCACCTCTGCCCTCTTCCCTCCTTCCACAGCAAGTATTTCCCGGGCCAGGAGAGCCAGATGAAGTTCATCTATCGCGGGCAGCTGCTGCAGGACCAGGGGCGGACGCTGCGCTCGCTCCACATCACAGACAACTGCGTCATCCACTGCCACCGCTCCCGGAGCGCCGCGGCCACCACCGCCCTGCCCGACCCCGGCACCGCCGCCCCCGACGCAGGCGGCTTCCCCCTCGGCACGGGGAACCTGATGGTCCCCGCCATCATGGTGGTGCTGGCGGTCGTCTGGTATCTCCGCATCAACTACCGGCAGCTCTTCACCGCCCCGGCCACCGTCTCCTTGATTGGCGTCACCGTCCTGTTCAGCTTCCTGGTGTTCGGGATGTACAGACAGTAGGAACTTGACCGGGAGGTGCCACAGCCTCCTCTCCCCCGTCCCCGTGGGAGCGCGGCACTCAGGCGGGCGCCACTTTCTCCACTGCGGCGTTACGGTGACTGGAGCCGGCGCAGCGGGAGCTTGGCGCCTTCTTCCCGGTCTCGGTGCTGGGCTTTGTCCCCGCAGAAGGGGCTGTGCTCCCCGCAGACACCGTCCTCCTCCCTGCCGGCCCCCAGCGCAGCTCTGGGGAGGAGAGCCGGGCGGGCACGAGCCACTCTCGCTCAGCCGGGCTCCATTCCTGCCCTCTGCTCCTCTCTCGGCAAGCGTGCCGGCTCCGCGCGCTCAGGCTCACTCTGGCAGCGAGCTCCCGGGCTCGCTCCGGCCAGCATCGTGCCCCGCACGTGTCCTGCCCCTTCTCTGGGGCAGGATCTCGGCCGCGGTGAAGGGCGAGGCGGGTACGAGCCTGGGGCCCTGCACCGGAACGGGCTGCGGCTTCCTCCCAGAGACTTTTTTTAAAGCAAATAAAACGTGTAACGTCAGCCCGAGCGCTCGCCTTCCTGCCCGAGGGGCGGCTGCCCGGGGAACCGCAGCTGGCTCGCCACCCTGCTGCGGTCCCCACGCTTTT